AGTTAATCATACTTACACACAGACTGGAAATAGTTTTTCTTTTCACAATTCCAGAATACTTGTCCTAAAGCTGGACATTTCTTCTTGTCCTGTTCATACTTTTTATCACAGTATTTGCATCACACAAGGTAATTCGATATGCTGCATGCTTAGATGTATTGAATTTCTCAATTAATTGTTGCAGAAACTTTATAGATGCATCCAAGGACATTTTAGTCAGTTGTAACCATTGTAAAATTTTGCATTTGTATGAAGCATCACACATAACTAATCTCAACTGTATCAACTCATCTTCAATGATCATTTCTCTAATGTCAAGTTTTTCAAATTCACAGAAACTGGAAGCCTCTTGTAGATTGTGTACATATTGCATTATTGTTTCATTTCGGCTCTTGTTGGCTTGCAAGAAACTGTCCTCTCAGCAATACCCAACTTCTTTTTCAGCCACAAATTTTTCTTTATAATCTCCGAAATTAGTGAAAAGGTAAAATCCTCCAATTTTCTGGATACACCATAACAAATATTTTTGATGCCATCACAGACTGCCAAAGCCAAAAAGAAATCTTTAATATCATTCTTCCCTCCTCTAGTTTTGTGACGTTTTAATTTCTTCACTCACTCCAGGACAGAAAAACAACGAATCCATGTTTCCACAAAATCTTGCTTATCCAACAATGTTGGAGGTCCTATTGGTGATGCCATATTGTTGTGATGTCTTCTAGTCTGTGACATACAAGTTCTACCCCCATACTGTGAGATAACTGAATTATTAGCAGTCGATCGACTCTATGGAAAATAGGGCACGTCCATTTTGACCATGTCACTACTGAAATTAAAGTTAAACAATATTTGGGGTGTAAAATTTTAGCAAACATGTAAAGAGAAAGAAAGATTGGGCATGAAAAAAAGATAAAATTTCTGATACAAACATAGGCAAACAAAACTACTTCATATCAATTCTAAATTCAGTTATAATGATTTGCAAAATTGCAACCATTTTCTATTTTGTGTGTGTAATTGTTCCATTTCTGTAACATCTTTTATGAACTGTCTGGTAAAGTAAAATGTTGATTGTCCCTCTACTGCCAAAGATTGGAATTTATTTTTTAAAGAAGTCAGCAAAAAAAAAAAATATACATTTGAAATAATTTAACTACTGCCGTTTCCCTGGGCTTAAAGCTTTTAATTTTATGTAGAATCCTAGGAAAACTTACTTGCTACCTGTGTGTTACATTTACTATCAACAGTAAAAAGATTTTTTTTAAACTTTATTTTATCTTCTTTGTTTTATTCAAAGCTAAAAATATATTTAAAGAAATATTATTGAATGAAATAATTTAGTTATGAGATAAATGAAAAATACAAATTAGGCAATTTATATGCAGGGAAAATATCTTTAAAAATTTTTTAAAAGAATTAAAGAGATCATCATCATATTTTTCCCATTTACTCTATTATTCATTTAATAATGTTAATTTGTCAGAAACAGTAAAAATTTGAAAGAAAACTTTTATGACATCATTAAATAAGTAACTTATAACACAAATCAAATAAAAATAGAAACAGAACAATAACATAGCATAATCTTCAAAGGAAGAGAACATGCCTACCTTAAAAATCAATTTTCAAAATGCTGGCTTTCTTCTGAGCTTGAAAATTAATTCAAGCACTGGTAGGAGTTACTTCATTTAGTTAGACATAATTCATTGAGAAAAAATTTATTGTTTAAAATAAAAAAACATCTCCTTTCCACTTGCTATTTACAAACAGCTTAAAAATTTGCACATTACAATATATGAAAATATATATAAATATATTACAGCAATATGAAAATATATATAAATAACAATTTTAATATTTTACTCATTTCCCTAAAATGTAGCAGTCTTTTTCACTAAGAATCATGTTTGAACCCATTAGCTGTTAAAAAGGTCTTTCCCATTAAATATCTTTCCCATTACAGATCTTATATAAAAACTGTCATAAATATTTACATTTAAAGGAAAAAAAATTCAAATCAATTTTAGTTTACTTTATGAATTTCAATTAGCATAAAATATTATATATATAATGACAAAAGGGAAACTTATCTTAGCCAATGCATTTTGTCCTGATGAATTGTACCAAGGCAAATGTGAGGAATTTATTTTGCAACAAGACATTAAATTATGTCACTTAGCACCCTCCATAACTCACATAGATTTTTCAGTCAACCTGATAAATATTTACGAGCATCTCTTAAATTTAAAAATTTTGAAAAACTAACAACTTTTGCTTATAAACATTTGTTGCAAAATAAAATCCTCACATTTGCCTTGATAAAGTCAATCAGAGGACAAAACACGTAAGCCAAGATAAGTTTTCATTTTGTCTTTATTCATACTGTCCTTTTACAGATACATTGTATTGTTTTATCTGAAAGTTTTATATATATATATATATATATATATATATATATATATATATATATATGTGTGTGTGTGACACCTACTGATAAACATAATATTATATAATTCAATGTATATCAAGGCAAACAGAATTTCTGGGATTTCATTGTTAATGTTGAGTTTGTAAGTAAAGGGTAGGACAGTTATTCTCAAAGGTTTCTTTCAGTTTTTTTTATTTCTTCTATACTTTTTGCTAATATTAAGAATAAAATCCTTTTCCTTAAGATAGTAGTTGATACGAATAGCCATAATTTTACCACCGCTCTTTATAGAAATCTATCTTTACTTAACTACAAAAATGAACATCCTCACAGATACAAAATAGCTGTTATAAAAATCATGATTTACCAAGCTAAAGTAATCTCTTCTTTGGATATATTATTCTATAAGGAACTTAACATTAAACAAACCCTAATCAATAATAACTTCCCTAAACACATCGTCAATGAACAAATAAAATTAGCTGAAATTTATAAAAAATAATGCAAGCACACGTCAACCAACACATCATCAACACCCAAAATATAATGACCAATATAAGACAAATACTAGTAGCTAACACCAAAATACTCTACAAAACCTTAGAAGCTATTATTATAAAAGAAACAGCTTACATTAAATAAAATATCATTCACCACAGAAGACGGTATCTTGAAGTGCATATCCTATAATTGATGTGCATATATCTTATATTAGTATCAAAAATAAAACGAAATAAATAAATGCATTTTTTTTGTTGCAGCTTCATCCCCAATAGCCATTACATTAAACCATTTCAAACTTCCAGCTTCCCAAAGAATACAATCACATGTAAATAAATGAATTCTAATGACCACATGGACATCACATCAGTTCTTGATAATGACAGGAAAGTCAAAAGTACTTGAACAAAAATAAAAAAATATGAACTTTGAGCAGTTTATCCACAACTACAAGCACAATACTCAGCACCTTAAAGTCTGTTTAATTTTTATTACAATTGGAAAATTGTAATAAAAATTAAACAGACATTTAAAAATTAAACAGATTTTTAATCAAATTTGATCATATATATATATATATATATATATATATATATATATATATATATATATATTATATATAAAACTAGGCAATCCGTAATGTGGGTAAAACCCAAGGAGGATGATATCTGGAAAGCTCAATGTAAATTCAGAACAAATATGTTTGAATAAAAAACAGACCACTTTAAGGTTCCATGTAATAAATTATTTCACCACAGCCCTTTTAAAGGGCTCTGGATCAACAGAACTTTATTTCCAAAGGTTGAAATGAAAAATGAAAAAAATTTACACATTTTTGACGGGCCGTATTAAGCATATATAAATTCCGTGAAGTGAGGGGGAAGAAGCTGAAGTGAGGGAAGTGGCGGGGAGAGAAGACATGAGTGAGTTAGATGTACCATTTCAATTCTTTATCCCTAACCCCACTTGGTGTGGGATAGACAAACGCTTCACTTAACTTATGTCATCTTTAGATATGGATGGGTAAGTGGTGAAGAGGAAAGCCGACATAAAAGGAAGAAGATACAATAAAACAATCCTGATGAGAGAATGTTTCACTCAATTTCTTGGATGCTGTTATTTCGCATTCCTTTAAAGGGTATATTTGGGGGTTAAAGTTTGATATCAATCTAAATGTCTCCAAAATCTATGAAGAATATACCCTTTAAAGTAATGCTAAAATAACAGCATCCAAGAAATTGAGTGAAACCTTCTCTCATCAGGATTGTTTTATTGTATCTTCTTTTTTATTTTTGTCCCTCTTGTTACCCAATATCTAAAGCATCTATAAGTTAATTTGAATTTTGTTCATCCCACACCAAGTGGGGTTAGGATAAAGAATTGAAATGGCACTTAACTCACTTTATGTAATTTTCCCCTCACTTCCTCATTTTTACATATGCTTAATAATGCCCATCAAAATGTGTAAATTTTCTTTTTAACCTTGATATTATTTAGACTGATGATCCAGAGCCCTTTAAAAGGGCTGTGGTGAAATAATTTATTACATGAACTTTTAAAGTGGTCTATTTTTTTTATTCAAATATAAATATATATATATATATATATATATATATATATATATATATATATATATATATATATGTGTGTGTGTATGTGTAAAATATATTTTTAAGATATGCTCTATTTATGGGTAAAAGTGCTCAATATCAAAGAGTGTATATAAATATAAAAATAGAGACTGAAGTCAACACCAAGCAACAACAGTCCATTTCATGCTTGAACACAATTTTCAGTCCATGCATATCATATATGCAAACAACACAATAGCTGCAGCTACATAACTGCATTCAGATCCAAAATTTCTACTCAATAGTTTCTAGAATAATTTGAAACATAACTTACCGCCCACCCAAAAATCAGTAGACTAATACAATAGACCTTACTACCCATAATGCACCATTGACAAAACACAACACACATGGCTTGAAGATTGTGTTCAAGCATGAAACAAACTGTCACTACTTGGTGTTGACCTCAGTAAGCAAAAATTAATAACATCAAAACTTACAAAGTTTTGAATGGGTTTGAGAAAATGTGTGTTTTTCTGAGTCTTCAACTCCAGCAAGAATCTCCCGCATCACTTTTTGTTCAAGTCTTTGTGCTTTGACCGATGTTGGGAGAGCCAAAACATCTGATGTTGCCTGTGAGAGCTGGCTAAATCTTTTACTAGACTCATAGTCTTGACTGGATTCTCTCCACACTTGGATACGCTCCAGGGGGTTTATGGCAGGCAACAATTTGGGGTCATCACAGCTAAGCAAGTTATCCCACTTTGTACTATCCCAAGGCTTTGAGAAAACAGTACCTGTATCACTTATCATAGACACAGCACGACATTGGAGATTGTCATATTCAGAAGCTCTTGTGTCAACTAAATCATACTGAAGCATCGGTTCCAAAGTCAGTTCTGGAGACATACGTCGGACCATATCACCTAGTGTCGAACAATCAGTCTCAGACCCTTTAGAATTTAAAGTCATTTTATCATAAACAGGAAATTTGTTTAATGTATGAATGTTTGATTTTGTATCACAATTATCGATGACTTCAAAGATTTTTTCCGTGAATTTGGGATTAAGATGCAAGGTTTCTCTTTCTGAATATTTTGGATCATTTTGTGTGTCAAGTTCTTGAATTTGTTCTTTATGTGAGTTATCTTTATCATTATTGTTTACATCATTTGACATTTTACCATTTTGTATTTTGTATTTATCAAAGGAAAAAACATTTGAATTTGGTACGACAGAAGGAGAATATATGGTTTCAAGATTAGGACGATAGGAGACATGACTTTTTCTCTTATCTCTATGTGGATGGTTTGCTTTAAGACTTGATAGATCATTATTGCTTGTAGCAGCAGGCACAATGACAGGTTGAAGACCAATAGAATCAAAAGGTTCTGTATACACAGGACTTTTCATGTTTTGTGTATAAAATTTTGAAACTTGACTTAAAGCAGGCAGAGGAGCAGGTTTAGTCTTCTCAGGAATTCGGAGAGAGAATTGTATTTCAGAATTATCAAAAAAATTTGAAGGTTTATTCTCTCTCTCAGTCTGAATATCAAGTCTTCCTTTGTTAGTCTTTGCATTTTTGGCAGGAACTCTCTTAAGAGAAGGTGTCTCTTCATGAACGTTGAGCATTAGTGTCTGACCTGTGGAACCACGCCGACACACGAAACAACTAGAATTATCTGCTGAAGGGGATGGCCAGGTTTCTGGACTATGCCGGTCTTTATACTGACCAATTTTTTGGGGGCTACTAGCAGTCCTTTGAATTTTAACTTTATGTGCTTTCTTTGTATATACATTTTCAGCAGCAAATTTTTTAAACCTAGCATCATGCGTTGATAGTGTATACAAATCTTCCACTGGTTGGTTTAAGTCAGTCGGAATTGTACGTTTTATATGCGGCTCTTCAATTTCATCATCACAGAGTTTTTTACAGCATTCATTATCCAGGTTCTTAGTCGGACAACTTTTCCAAACATCTTCATAGTCACTTAGTTTATCTGATAAATTACTCCGGAAATATTGATGAACAGTTAGGAGATCAATAGACGTACTTGAATACAAATTGCTTTTTTGTTCTTTGACAGTCACATTAATCTGTGGGTGAGTGTTTGATCGATGAACTTTGGCTGTGATAGCATCTGCACTGTTATCAGAATGAGATGGAATATTAATGCCAGACTGACAAAGAACTGGCAGATGAGAATCAGAACAAGACGATTTCACCTTCTGTTCATTCTTATTTCCATTTTTTTCAGAACTTAAATGTTTCTTATTTTTTCTACTGTTTGTAAACAATGTCACAAATGGATCTTCACTTTCACTTGTGGGAGCAGCATCAATGGAAAATGTTGGCAGTTTTTTTTCATTCTTAATATCATACAGTTTTTCTTCTGGGACATTTAATTTTGGATTTTTCTGTTCAAAGGAAGATGATTTCTGCAAATTTGTTGTCTGTCTGTTAGTCTTGTCATCTTTCTTTTTATAAGCAGTGACAGATTTTTTCATCAAGGCAGAAGACCAAAAATCTAGAAAGAAAAGCAGAGTTCATTATATGAAGATTTTTCACTTTTAAATAAATTTGGGTCATCACAAATACAACTTTGAAATGAAAAGATAATTGGATAGACAAAGACAAAAAATGATTTTGTAGAAAAACATTGATAATGAGAATACAAAAAATCTCATGATTATTTTATGCTGAAGTAAAAATTAACAAGTTAAAATTTTATATATACACAAACATTTTCGCCTCATATTTGATGTGAACATATTGAAATGTATGAATATGTCTACAGCAGTCCAAATAACTTAAAATTGTTTTCTTAAATTTCTCATATTAAACAGATTAATGTCAGACTGTTTAGCACATGGATCTATTTTTAGGAACAAATGAAAATTATAACAAAATATTTTATAGGGATTTTGTCAAGCTTATCTAATTTGAATTGAAATTTAAAAATAGACATCAAATTTTTGTTTATAACGTTTTTCATAATAATGATAAAACACAGATATTAAATATTTAATTTATAGAAGTTTGTGGTGTATAGTAGACTAAGCAAAAAAAAAAAATGGTATATATTTTCACAGTAAACTAAATTAATTTTAAGTAAAGAGAGTGTATTAATTAAACAAAAAAGCCAATACTTTTGTTGTATTTTGATGGACACATAAGAAATGAAATGTAGATTACCAGATTAAAAAATTAAATTTGGTCAAGAAATTTTTTGTCAAGTTCAGAAACCTTATTCACAATGAGAAACAATTGCTCTGCCTCAAAAAGCCAAAAATAAATAAATAAAACCTTAGATTCAATGCAAAACAAAAAGATTTGTAATTTCCATTTTAATGTATAAATCGTATTTTCTAAAAACAAGGGGAAATAATAATCAGGTAATATATCAAGCTAATAATATATAATAGGTAGAGGCAATATATTCCAGACTAAGTTTTTTATTATTTCTCACACTATATAAGTAATATGTAGTTGCATATTGTCATGAAGGAAAATGAATCTTTTCAGATCAACACATTTTTAAAATCATTTGTAATTATTGTTCTAGGTTGAAACAATTCAAGGTGCAATGCCAGATCAACACCCTGTGAGGTATGATGCTTAACCAATTTAGAGTTGATGAGAATCCTTAGCACATTGCTAAAAAGACAGAGAAGGCTAATAGGCTGGCAGTTTTTATGAGCAAAAACATTTTGCTTTATTAGCAGAAGATGTTAACACTTCAAATTGAATGAAGAGAGGAGGGATAGAAAACTTATTTAACACACTATCTTTTTTAGCTACCCTTCTAAAGGTTTTTATTGGTAAAAGTGATGTGTAGATTTCATGCTTATTGATTATTGTCCTTTACAAGAAAAATATCTTTCTTTTAAATCTAATGAAAAAGACAACAATGAAAATTGGACATTTCTGATCATTAATAAATTTTTAATTTTCATGGAGAAATTTGGTCAAATTGAAATGTTGCAAATAGCTTAAAATTTTTCTAGTATTGTATCCTTTATAATTTCTTGAATAACATTTGCCAAGTTTATTTTTCTCTTTTCTTTTTCTAAAATATATTTTATAACAGTGAAAATATTAAAATACAAAAAAAAATCAAACAATTTAAATGTTGCCACTTTGTTTTTAACATTCAAATGTTGTCACATAATGTGTTTAATATAGAACAGGTTTGAAATTAGAGTTAATAATTTTGCATTTTTTTAATTTAATTTCATTGAGTGGTGTATCTGCATAACCTGAAGTCAATCTCAATATAAGTCTTTGAATTTTACTTCATCTATTAACCTCTTGAATTTAAATATTTCATCTGAGAAAAACTTGTGTGGATTATCTCCCTTTAAACATATTCTATATTTAAAAACGTCCAAGAGAACAAAGTTTAAGTTCGTTTTCTCACTACAGTAGGCAAGTGATTTTGTTAATTAAAGGGATTAAATATTTTATATGGAGATATTTTTTTTATGTTGAGTTTTTTTTTTGTTAATTTAAAACTTTAAAAAAGGCAAATACATTACCTTGACCTAACAATGCCAGCGAGGTCAATTCTTGTGATGTTTTTGCTTTCATAATTGGTTCTGGTAAAATTAAAAGCTGAGGCAAATCCTCTCTGAAAAAAAAATAAATAAATAATAAAAAAAAAAAACAAACAAACAATTATTTAGCACAAGTGTGACAAACATTAAAATATTCAAGTGTTAATGTTGAATGTGCAGATAAAATCTAAGAAAAAATATAAAAATCTATTCAGTATCTATTCAGAAAAAGATGCAAGACAAACATGGATAATTACTCCATTATTTTTTTAACTAAGAAAATCCATCTTGGTTCTTATACTCACAATGTTTCAGCCATTGTAACCTCTGGACTTCATCTGCCTTTGTACTTGGTAACATTTTTGGAATTTTGAACTAAACATTATTTCATTCCCTTTTTCCATGATTAGGAGAGAGGATCTCATATTGGTATATCCTTTTTCCAGTCTACTTCACCTTTGGTGTTGCTTGCCTGTTTCTTTTACTGAACCAAAGTATATGACCTTTCAACATTGGTTAAAACATATCTGACAGTTATTAATTCAATCCTCAACTCGAGTAGTGCAGAAAAGCCATATACTCTGCTTCAGTGGAAGAAATGGACAGATGACATAAAAGGCAAAATAACACAAAATATGCCCTAGGCATGGAAAGTGGAATGAGAACAATCTAGCCACTACTCTCACCATTGAACTGAATAAAAGGCCCAGTTCAATATTTCAAGAAGAATGCCAAATATGTTAGCCTAGACAATTCTTTTCAGTGATGGCAAAGTTGAATGCAGTGTATTTGTCAACATGTAGTTGGGGAGGTAGCAGGTAAAAATAAAATTGTTTTGAAAATATTCAATAGAATTGTTGTAAAAACTAGTCTTATTGGCCGTTTTAAGTATTTGGTCAAAAAATAGAAATATATATAAAAATGTGAGCATACTCAAAAATAATTTGTTTTCTTGAAAACCTGAAAAAAAATAAAAATAAAAAAAAAAAAAAAAAATGTATTTATGTTTTTGAAATCAGTTTTTAATAAAAAAATCCAAGAACAATTACTCACAAATTCTGGCTGTAGTTATAAATCAAATCTGGAACATTACTAAAAATTTTTGTGGCTCCTTGCAAATGAGGTCCAATGCTATAATTCTCTATGAGATAATGTTCCACAATTGGACCCGACTCCTGACATAAATGAACAGAGAGTGCCATGGAGTCTTTACGACTAGATTCTCGAACGATGAACATCTGAAAAGCAAAATATTTTGCTTTGAATATTTTAAAGATTATTTAAAAGCAAAGATAAAAAATATGAAAACAAAGTGTCATGATCGGATGAGAAACAAAAAGTAAAAACAGAAAAGTAGATAACATGTCTATTCATTTTGTCATATTTCATGTTGTCTGTTATAATTATTTTAAAACATAAACAAATATTCAAATATATTCTAAAGTTTGAGATATACATGCAAATCATTGCATAACTATTTTACATCACACTTGTCTCTTATTTCTCTAATTGTATTAATTATATCGAATAAAAGCTAAATTTTTCAAATCATATTTCTATTTTATAGAAATTATCCATGCATCATTTCAATGAGTGTTATATTTGAAAATTAAATCAAAATTATGTTTTGATGAATTTGATAAGAATTTCTATAAAAATTATGAAATAGTTTTAGTGATTGTAAAATTTCAAAAATATATTCAAAATTAAATTTTTGGTCTAAAATTGCCATCATAAAATCTGAGTAAAGCGTTTCATGTAAAAAAATATATTTAAAAAATGACTTTTGACAGTTTTAGTTAGCATAGAATTCTGCTTACTATTCTTGACAATCCAAAGTGCACAAGAATTTGCAGCTTTCAATTACTTAGAAAATAATTATCTTTCATAAAAATGTCTTTTTTTCTTTTCAAATTGTTCATCTAATATATAAAGCTTAAAGACTGTATGTCCCCACTGAAAATTGCTTAAAACTGTGACAAAATAAATTACAGTTTTAGCATTTATTCATGTGTGTCCATATGAACAGAATACAGCCCATAACCAAATTGGAATCTCATGTATGCATACATGGAATTGGAGACAAAAATTGGTGGCTCAGCACTTTTGCAGTGGGATAATTCAAGTATCAATAATTAAACCTGACAATTTCCCTCTTAATGCAATGGGAAAATGAATGGTCTATTGAAACTGAGTATAATAAACATGCAAATCAGTGGGATTTTTATTTAACTAATCAAAATGTTTCCGACATTTTGCCCAATTTACTGGCTCCTGAATATATTTAATTTGCATATTTAGTTTCAAAAATCATTTTTTTTAAGAGAATTTTAGCTATTCATTTCCAAACTAGTATTCTATGATCTTCATAAATAACAAATGATTTTGTTGATAGATTTTGTAATTGTTTAGTTCTTCAAATAAATCCCTGACACCAGCACATTAGATTTGATTATAGTGATGAAGGTTTTATGCAGAACCATCCACACTTTTTGAAGGACCAAATACAGAGACTTGGTGCACTACATGCCACAGGGTCCCTAAACAACCCTCCGCAGGTTTTGAATTCAGCGTTGTCCATCTCCTAGACCAGTTACCATCCAAGGCTATAGAACCCAGTCTGTCCTGCTATTTACCCATAGCTGGAGGGAGAAGAAGAGGATTCGCACCTTACCTTACCCAAGGGTATATTAGCATGAAGTGAATGTAATGGATTCGACTGGGAATTCAAACTCAGCTCTCCGATTCCTCAATCCAAGCCGCTATCCATTACTCCAACGTGCACTCCTATATATATATATATATATATATATATATATATATATATATATATATATATATAAAAAACAGTAAATTGGCTACAGATTTCTGATGAATTAGTTTGGCAATCTCAAATACTTTAGAAAAAAATGCAACTCTATGGATTTAATTTTAATTTTGAATTCATAAAAGCTTCTCTGATTAATATAAATTTTCACACAAACACAAATTTAACAGGTTTAACCAAACTGAAAATAAATCACTATATTTACCTATTAAATATTTACAAATTTCATTTTTTTTTTTACAAATTCAACAAATTGCAAAGATTTTTCAGCTTTGGCTTGATAAAACTTCTTAAATTCAAATTGTGCTCACATGACGAAATCACTTTTGTCATTGGCAGAGTTCAAAAGAGATAGACTTCAAATATTGCAGAATCGTTTTTCTTTCTCTATCATAATAAATCAATTACAACATTACATACACAATCTATATTAATTATAGATTCACTAAGATTCTGAGTTAAAGAAAAAATTCTTCAACAACAAATTTATTTTTTCTTAATTACTAAAAAGTGAAATATTAGTGAGCACACACCAAATGTCCACAATAGAAGTGAAAACAGTTATTTTAAACAAAATATTTTTTTCACTTTAAAAGATACATTCTTGATTGTCAGAAAAGAGTCATTTATCATCACAAATAACATGTTTCAGAAATGGGTTTTTATTATTCTAAGTATGCAGTGATATGAAGGGACCTCAAATCAACAAAGTTTCTGCTTTTCTATCATTTCATGTACAATTTGCCCAGCTTCACATACATTTCCTTTCATAAAATTTACATTCAAATCAAACTGAAAACACCCGTTCTTATCCAAACGCTAAAATTAAGCAACATCAAACCTGGCCAGTATTAAAGGGGGAAACCGCTTCAGAATACTAAGTAAACAACCTTCTACAAATAAATTTATTTTTTTAAATAACCTACAAAACAGTTAAGCTGTAAAAACAAATCAATCAACCCTTTTCACAGAGTAAAATAAAAACAATTATATAAGAAAAAGTTGGTTAAAAAATTTAAATTGTTATTTTCCAAAATGATTCCCGTCAGCACTGACAAAATTTGCAAATCTGCCTTTAGGCTCATTTGGAACATTTTCAATTTCCAGAGTGAAATTTCCAAAACTTTGATTATCTTTTTGTCTTGTAAACCAAATTCTAAATTGATGTTTCTTCCTGCTTCAGCTGCACTGGCAGGGACCCACTTTTAAACTCATGTAAAAAGAGGAATTATGCTTGTTCTTACAACAGATTTTCAAAGGTAAAAAAAAACAAATTGTATGAAAATTACAACAGAAAATGATTTAATACACACCTGCTTAAATGCATATTGGTAGCACCAATTTAATTAACTGTGAGTACTTACCCCAGGCAAGCCATCTTTCAAAAGATGTACAGCACCGATTCGGCCAATGGAAGGTAAATACCAAATTGGTAAACTTTTATCAAGGCGTTCTCGAAAGTCAATCGGTCTTGCTTCTAGGTCAGTTAATAATGGCATGATCATCTTTAAACAAATAAATGTTATTAAGTAAATTAAAAAAAAAAAAAAAAAACAGTTCTAAAGACAGTTCTATTGAGAAGTTTAATTTTTTCTATGGGGTACATATCTGTAAAAATTACTTGACAAATATAATGTGAGCGCTTTTTTTATATAATCTTTTTAACTACCCAATAATCTTAAAAATTTAGGAAAATATTCTCCATAATGTAATGTTTTATTGAATTTTCACTGAATTGTAGTAAGTTATTTAATTTGTGATTAGTAAATATAGAATTTTAAATGATTTAAAACTTTACAAATTATTATAATTATTGCCCTTAACATATTTTATTCATAAAAGCAATCAAAAGCTTTCCTAATTAAATAACGTCTTAGTCTTATTGCATTTTTTATTTTAAGATTCAGAGCTAATTTTCTATAACTGAGGGTCCTGTTTTACAAAAAAAAAAAATTGATTATTTAAATTCTCCACAGGTTTGGGCTTATAACTAATATATAAAGACCTACAAAAATGAATTTTTTAAAATTTCATGAAATTAAATAAGACAACAATAAGTAACAAATGTTAAAAAAAAGAAAAAAAGACAAGAAACATTTCTAAAATAATTTTCTTCATTTGTGAATAAGTCCTAAAAGTTTCATTAAAATTCGACAGTTTGATTTTTGCAAGAATTTCCAAATCAACGTGTTTTTCACTGCAAAAAGACATTAATATTTCTCAAACTAATTTATGGTCATCCAGTGACGCAAAAAAAAAAAAAAAATTTAACCAAAATTTTGGAAGTTCAAAAAAAGGATTAAAAGGTATAATAATCAGAAAATTCTTTCCTTTTAATAATAACAAAGATTTTGACAATAAAACTTAGTTTTTTAATAAGTTTGGGGCATTTTTTCATGATGCTCATTTCTTAGGACATACTTATTTATAAGGCTCAGGTCATAATTTCTTTCTCTGTACAAGAAAAATATTTTGGAAACACCCAAAAAATTTGCCCACAAAATTACTACAGGAATAATTGTTCTTTCTTTTATTGTTAAACATACAAATTATAAATTTAACAGAATTAAAAAGTAAATTAAACATAGATTTTGAATATATTCTGTTTATTCATTAACAAGCTATAAAATATCATTATCAATTCAAAATATATCATCAATTTAATTTTCTTAAATATTCATTTTTAAAATATTATTTAAAAAAAAAAAGAAAAAAGTAAAGATCTGTAGATGGTAAAAAGTTTCCTGCTTTCTAAGAAAGCATTAAAAAAAAAATTTCCTCAGATTTGGGCAAGTGAATTGAACAAAGAACTTTTAAACAACCCCTCAAATAATTTCATTTTAGTTTGAAAATTAAATTTTAATGAAAAAAATTAACCTATTAAGGCTCATTGTATAATGCTGTATTAATTATAAGAATAAAAGTCAGTTTTCTAAAAACTATTTTATTATTAATTACAGATTTCTACCGTTAACCAATTAATGTGCAGTGTTCCATTTTAGGGTGGATAGTGAACATTAATGAATTAAAACAATATTTTTCTAACCATGTCATTTCATATCTGCAGCCACAGAAGCAGTGGTGTTTTCCTGGGCAGGATAGCATGACAGATCCCAACCCACTCCAGGGTGGTTTTGAAGTCAGTATTTCCTTCTCCTAGACCAGTTGTCATCCAAGGCTATAGGACCTGTCCTGCTATTTAACCATAGCTTGGCAGATAGAAGAGATGGATTCATACCTTTTCCCAAAGATATTAGAACGTAAGTGAATAAAATGAACTCAGGTGGAATTCCATCTTAGCTCTCCAATTCCTCAGTCCAATTATTCAACCGTACATCCTATCAAATTTGCAGTCTTATAAATATGACAGTCAGTAACTGAAAGTGTTTATTACATTTATTATAAAGATCACTCTAATTATCATAAAGAATAATAAACATTATACTATAGAAAAAAATATATAGTTTCAGAAGGTTAAAGAGAAAGTTTTTAAATTTTTCAAATCTTATCCAAAATTTCTCTGGTAACTTATTTTTGAACATCAAGTAAATATCTCTTCTTTTGTTTTTAAATTAACAATAATAATAATGATGATGGTGATTAAAAAACTCTTACCCTTTTTCTTGTTCAGTGATTTCAGTGTTCCCTAATGGTAACTGTTGGGAAACTTGAATCTACACTCATGTATATATAGAAGTTTAAAACATATTTCTCTACTTCAAAGATGTACCATCCCAAGCAATCAGCAATGATTCACAAAATTCACAAACATCCCACATCAATTTGTTATGAGAAACTATTTGTAAATGAATTGTAATTGTTATAAGAGGTCATTTCCTTTACAAACAAAATGTGAAATAACTACATTGAAATTATACAATAGATATTGTTTCCTCATCTTTTCTAGTAACAAAAACAGATGGTGCATGTAATTTGGAGAAAAACTGCAATCAAATAGACTTTTAAACAACTGTACTCCTCTTTTTCTTTTCAGCTGACTCATTCTACAGCCTTCTTAAGAGGAATATATCCAAAGAGTCTTTTTTCTCCAAGAGAAAAGCAACAAACACTAGAAAAGAAAATATTTAAAGGTTATTATTTTTAGCTTCTTCCATAATTTCATTGTTCAACAGAGATACAATATAAAACTGGGAACATCTCATCCATATTTAATAAAATGGAAAATATCATAAACTATTTTCTGCACATGTTGCAGAAAATAGATTAAATCATATTATGACTAATTTAAGTTATAAAAACATTTTCTTTGCTACTGTTTTAATTTTCACTTGAAAAAGGAAAAAAAAAATCTTCTTTCAATATTTTAAGAAGGCTGTAGAATTAATCAGCAGAAACAGAAGAGAAAAACAAAAATGACAAAAAGCAGAATTCAAGTGGCTGAAAATCTCTGAACAGGAAATATTTCAATTTCATATCTAATTCAGTGTATGTGACATTTCTCAATACCAAGTGATGTAAGTGTGGATGCCTGAGTGATGTGATGGTTAACAAGTTCAGAATGAGAAATCTGAGATCCAAGTTTGAATTCCAGTCAGGTTCGTTACATTTACATAAGCATAAATACCATGAATCCATCTCTTCTCCACCACCTTAAATAGCAGGGTAGACTGAGTCCTATAGCCTTGGCTAGCAACCAGCAGTGGTAGCATTCTGACAAGTGAATCATGAATAGAAAAATACATGATTGCCTGTGTGTGAATCACGCATGACTCCTAATGAAGGGAAAGATTTCCCATCTGTCAGTGGTTCAAAATCATTTCAGATTAAAGCAAAAGGTGCATTTCAGGTACATTTATAAATATTTAATCAAAGATAAGAGAGAACATCAGTATACATATTAATTTGATTTCATTGTTAACATGGAAAAGATGAAGACATTTGAATCTAGTCATCACCAGGTAACCTTGCTATAAGGCAACATTTTTAAAACCATAAGAAAAGCAAAAAAAAAAAATATAAATTCAATTATATCTCACCTGTGAGTGATTGCTTTTTTCCCCCAAGCCTGAAATATTTCCATGATTGTAAGGCACAGTAACATCACCATCACAGTCTCTGAAAGTAAACAAAATATGACATGATGATAAATAAATAAATGTTTACATCTATTCAAAACTATTTTATCTTATGTATATTTCAATAACAAATTTATAGTTTAGTTTGGTTTATTTTATCAACCTCAATGGATTATTTAATTCCAACAAGATTTTTAGGATATGTATTCTTTCTAAGAAATCAGTTTGTAGATCAGGTTTCATCGATATATTTTTGTAAAGAGGTTTTTTGTTAAGAGTCAAATCTATTGCCGGTAATTTTTTTTATTTTTTAAAAAAAAAAATGTATTGCTGGTAATTTTTTTTTTTTTCAAAAAATGTATCTCTGGTAAAATCTATTTTTATACTTTCTATAATGTTTTGACCTCAGTTTGGGGATTAACTATTTTCCCATAACTGGGGCTCTAAAAGATGCTACCACCCGGATCAGGTTAGACCTGGGAATAACAGCAATTAAAAAAGGTGGTTCCACGCTCCTCAAAACCTCCCGATGCCTTGCCATTGAACATAGTTTATTGTCAAGTCAAGGATAACAAATTTATGTAAAAAAAATGTTTTATCATGATTTTCATAAGACTCAGAAGAATATTTTCAATTAGCAGTTGCTTACCCTTTCAGATAGAGGCTTAAAAAAAAAAAAATAGTAAAAAAATTATTAATACTAGTAAAGTTAGATTCCTTAACACAACTTACAGCTGTAACATTCACATATAAAGTAGATTGTCACAATTATTAATCAAGAGAAAAATATTCAGTGAAGAAGTTTGAATTTAACAATAGTGTGAAAAAAAAACCCTAAAACTTGATCAACTGATTTATTTAATAATAAAAGAATCATTTCCATCTCAGAACAATTACTCTACAATCATCACTTAAAAAAAAAAGTGTTAACATAAAAATATTTATGGTAGAAGAAAATTAGTCATCTTTACAGTCTCAATTTCATTAATTTGCAGTTATTGTGGATTCTAAAAGTAGAAGAACCATAATAAGAGTAACAACTGCAGTTGTCTCCCTTGCCTAGACATTTTCTTACGAAGAGACTAAACAAAAAGATCAATAGTCTTAAAACAGACATGAAAGGCACGTAATAATCACATTGCGATGTTAATCTCCATTTTGTTCTCTTCATTTTTAGCATTTTCTTTATATCACATAATGATGATGTCGCAGCAATTCTCAGTGATGGATTCAGTGGCATTTCTGAAGCCATGCTTAGAAAAACCACACAATAATAGAGGAAAACGTCCAAATTACAAGATATAATTTTTTTTTTTTTTAAATCATTCACCCAAGCAAGGCAATAAAGCCACTAAGATAAAATTGGTTACTGAATGTAAAGGAATATGAGAAAAAGAAAAACATTAAGGAGAGAGAACAATAAAAGTAATTAGAATTATGGAGACAGAAGATAACAAGTGACATTGATCTTCAAAAATTTAAATTCAAAGTTGACTGGTAAACAAGAGGCCAGAAGAGAGTTACAAAAGCAAGAAGTGCGAGTGAAAAAACTGTTAACATAAAAATTACGGTTTCGTCTACCCATTTCAACAGTAAAACAATGAGACCTAGCTGCCAATCTAGTACTGCCCTTAAAGTTGTAAAATTGTGATACCAAAGAGGAAAAACTATTTATAGAAAAGGTAGAGGGAATTTGTATTACAGCAGTGGGAAAGTGATTGATACAGAGATGCCAAGTCAGGACTGATAACATTGCAGATTCTTATTTAGATTCCATCAAGAATCTCTACATATATAACAGAAGCACCAGACCAGATATTGTAGCAATATTCAAAGCAAGGATGAATAATAGACTTATAAATATGTAAGATAGATTCTGGCAAGAAAAATAGTCTAGCACAACATAACGAACCAAGTTTCCTAGCAAAAGACCTAACAATTGATTTAATATCATCTTTCTACTTCATATCAGTGGAAAACATTAGCCCAAGAAGGAACAATGAGTCACTCTCCTGGAGGTTAGCATTAGCCATGCTGAAGGAAGGCAAAACATGCTTCTCTCAGACAATTAAGAGAGCAGTTTCAAAATTAACAAGCCATTTCTTGCCCCAGTTAAAAACAGCTTGTAGTTCATTTTTGAGATCAGTGGCCAATTTGATCTTATTGAACTGATCAGACTTAGCATTAAAGCAGGAGTAAATTACTGAGTTGAGAACTGATGACATCAGGAAAGTTAAAAATTACAAACAAATCCAAAGATAGAGTCTTAGGGGTCACTTGTATTAATGCAAAAAAATCTGGAAGAACTGAATTAAAATTTAAAAAGCAGTGAGTAGATACTGAACAAAAAAAAAAAAAAAAAAAAAAATTGCCTTTTTAGATTCAGAAAGTTTTATTGTTCCATAAATTGAGAAAATGGCAATTTATCTTCTTTGGAATTATCAAAATAAAGTAAAGCAGTAACAACAAAGTTATCAATTTACAGTAACTTGAATGTCATTTCCCAAGCAGGAGAAATTGTGAAATGAATTAGTATATTTGGATATCAAAAAGCAATTTTCAAGAAATGTTCTATTTGTAAAATGTTGCCTGATATATGACTGTTTTAATGTTGGCGATATAATTCTGTCATTGTGAGTAATATGAAATTTTTAGTTAACAACAGACACCTACTGCTAGCTAACAAATGGATTTTTTATTGCGTTTTAAATAAAAAAGTAATGTTTTATTTAAAAATCATTGACTAATTTTCATAATTTTCTATATTTGTATAACAAATATTCAACTAAGCTCCATTGTAGTTGTTACATTTGCAAATACATTTTATACACTAAATGTAAAAATTATAGTGAGACAGAGATAGTAATTTACTTTTCAAAAATTTTTTATTAGACTTAAAAAAATTTCTTTTGGTAGAGAATATCAGTTATGACACCATTAAAGTTAATTTTGGATGAAAAATTTACATTAAAACAGTTGTAAATCCATTTGAATACACACATTTTTTTTCACAACTGAATTATGTTGTTTTGGTAACTACCTAGTGTTGAGATGAGCAACATATAAGTTATACAGTTTTATGGGGATTTATTTTATGGTTATGTATGCAAAATATGAAATCTGTATGGTTCCATATAAATAATATTAATATAAATAAAAACATAGCATATGTTTTTTTGTGCATTACAAAACAAAAGTGACATATATAAGAATGTAGTGAAAAGACCTCTGACCAAATAATGAAGCAACAGAATTTCCTTGTTTAGACCAAAACCTTTTTAGTATATTAGAGAGAGAGAGAGAGAGAGAGACATACATAAATTATATATGAGAGAAAGAGAGAGAAAAAAGACACATAGACATTATATGAAAGAGAGAGAGAAAAAAAGACACATACAGACAGTATATATGAGAGAGAGAGAAAGAGAGAGACACATACAGACATTATATGAGAGACACACACATATAGATACTATATGAGAGAGAGAGAAAGAGACACACATACAGACATTATGAGAGAGAGAGAGAGAGAGAGACATACATAGACATTATATGAGAGAAAGAGAGAAAGACATACAGACATTATGAGAGAGAGAGTAAAATAGACACATACAGACAGTATATATGAGAGAGAGAGAGAGATACATACAGACATTATATGAGAGAGACACACACACATACAGATATTATGAGAGAAAGAGACACACATACAGACATTATATGAGAGAGAAAGAGAGAGGCACATACAGACAATATGAGAGAGAAAGAGAGAGGTACATACAGGTATTATAACAGAGAGAGAAAGAGCAAGACACATACAGACATTATATATGAGAGAGAGAGAGAGAGAAAGAGACACAAAGACATTATATATGAAAGAGAGAGAGAGAAAAAGACTCAGTTTGAAAGAAAATTAAAACATGATTTTAAAATATAAAATGAGAAAAAAAATTTGATAAAAAATCCATTTTGAACATACAAGGCACATGTTAGAAAAGCCATTTCAAGGATCCAAGACTTGGACTAGAAAACCCATTTTAAAGATACAATATACAGTGTAACCCGGATATAAGAGACCTAGATATAAGAGAAACCCGGATATAAGAGAGATTTTCTCTGGTCCCAAATTACAGCCTGTGTTAATGTAAACAAAATAGACCAAACCCAGATATAAGAGACTTCTTCTCCGGTCCCGACAACTCTCTTATATCCGGGTTACACTGTACAATATACAAGAATGCACAAATAAAATCCATTATTTAATGATTTGGCAGAGGAATGAAAACAATCTCAAATCCTTATCCACTCTGAATTTCATTTTCAGTTTATGAGACAAAAACTGCAATTATTGAAACAGCAACAAATTCACCAGAGAGAAATTAAAATATAATTCCTAACAAAAGAAAATTGATCAGGAAGAATTTTTCTTAAAAAAAACATCTTGAATTGCCATTCACTAGCATTTCTCTTTGGATTCTTATACATATGTAGGCATTTAACAGAAAGAAATATCAGGGCTTTTCTAAAAGCCTTGTTAAAGTTAACTCCTACCATTAAATCTGGCTACATTACCTCTTAGTATAAATAGCAGGTATTCTGTTTAACCTAAAAAAATCTGGAATCTGGAGAATTGACAATGTGACTAATGTCATCTTTCTCTCTCTCTCTGTTGTTTTTTTTTTTTTTAAAATGGGATCTATTCGCGAATGCTGCCAACTGTAGACATCTTTATGATGCCAAATGGAATAAGCAAAACACTTCAGACTAAAGGCAATGGAATTCCATCATGAATGATATCAATACTTACATGAAGAAACTAATATAGAAGAAAATGGTTGTTTCAATTTAAAAAAAAATCCAGTTTATGACAATCTAACAATCCACCACCCTGCAACACTTGAAAACTATGTAGTCACATTTCCATTTTATAAGTAGGATGATTTGGATATTTTAAAAAACCTTATTTCTTTTCTCAAATACTTGTAGATGTTTTCAAATCTGTTGCAAAAAAGCTGATTTTTTTTTTTTTTTACAAGTTTTCTTCAACACAAAGCAATGAAAAGCAAAAGTCTGAATGACTATTTACATTTTTACATTCATTATTATATTTAATGTCGTTAACACACAATTATATTTAATAGAAGATATTTCATAAAAAAGTTGCCCTGAGAAAAAAAAAAATTAGAGTTAGACTTGGCCAACAAAATATAGTCAGAATAATAATTTTCAAGCAATTTCAGTTAAATAAATCACCAAATATTCAATCTTTCTGTAACTGGAATAGTTAAGTTGCAATGTAACAAATATTGATATGGAAATTAAATCATTGAGCAGAGTTCAAATTATTCTGTTGCATTCATTTTCGCATAATGAAGAGAAATCCATTTCTTTTCTTTCAAGCTAGAGGTTAACTATCAGGATATGCTGATTTGATTGGTTCGTTTTGTTTTACGGCATATCAACCTCAATGGGTCACTTAATGCCGACAACTTTTTTTTTCCTGGTAATATTTTTGTTTTGTCAAAAATCTATTTCTGTTAATATTTTTTTCCTCAAAAATGTATAGCTGGTAATATTGGTTTTTCAAAAACGTATAGCTGGTAGTATTATTTTTTCAAAAACATAGCTGGTAATATTATTTTTTCAAAAACATATAGCAGCTATAGCTGGTAATATTGTTTTTTCAAAAACGTTTTGCTGGCAATAGTTTTTTTTTTCAAAAATGTATTGCTGGCAGTAATTTTGTTTTGTTTTTTTTTTTAAAAAAAAAACATATTGCTAGTAATAGTTTTTTTTCTTCAAAAACATTGCTGGTAATATTTTATAATGCTTTTTACCTCAGTTTCTGGGTTAACTATTTGCCCATAGCTGGGACCCTAAGAGGTGCTACCACCCTGGGTCAGGATGGACCTGGGAACATCAGCAATTAAGAGGTAGTTCCATGCTCCTCAAAAACTCCTGATTAGAGGCCTTGTTGTTGGATGTAGTTTATTGTCATACACAGGACAGAAGGATATGCTGAGGGCTCTCTATTCTTTGGTGGCTACCAGGGTAGGAGAAGGAAAAACTTTAAATTTCAAACCAAGGAGAAGGCAATGGGAAAACCACTATCTTTCCAAAGAAGTGCTGGCAATTCATAGATAAGAAAGGAAAATCTGTGAGGAGTCATGATTGCTAAAATCCTCAAAGGATATGGCATGAAAAAAAAAATAAATAAATAAATTGACATTTCCAACTTATCAAATCATTTCAAACTATGGGCTCATCTTTTTGTGTTCACTTTCACATATGCTTGGAAAAGACATGAATGTCTCTTCTTTCCCCAGCTATGGGTTAAACAGCAGGACAGCTTCTCTAACTTTGTGTAACAACCAGTCTAAAAAAAAGGCAAACTATGAATTCCAAACCATGGAGACAGCAATAGGAAACCACTGTATTATTCTTCCCAAGAACATATGGCAATTCATAAAAGAAAATCTATAGAGAGTCATGATTACCTACATCCTGAAAGAATATGGCATTTAAAAATATGATAAAAATGAATAAGTCAATTAGAGGCAAAAAAAGAAAAAACACCCACTAGTTATTTTGTTATTACTCCCTCCCTCAATCACTTTGTCATTGCCTCTGTTTATAATCAGATTCTACTGAAAGTAACTAACATATTTTCTGACTTGGAAGACACACTCTAATATTGGAAAGAAATTTCTAAGGAAAAAAAAAAAAACTCATTCTCTTACAACACATTCACCATGTGTCCCACACATACTGGCACCACATATTGTTTACATTAATCACTTGTCTAATTTTGTTTGTATAGCAATGAGACACTATAGTCAAGAGAAAAAAGGTTCCTGCAGCTGCTAGTAAACAGAGCATGTTTAAGTTTGTGGCTCAGCTCCAGGAAGGTTTACAGACATGGAAATACTTGTAACAGTTAAGTACTGAGCTTACAACATATAAAAGGCTGAATTAGATAAATAGCTAACATTATAGTGTAATGACTCAACATATAAATCCATGTCCCTATCAGTTAAGCCAATTAGGTGACCGTCCAAGCTTGAGCCTGGGTGTTGCCTTACATTTGTCTTGGAAGATGACACGTATTCTTCAGTTTAAAAAAAAAAAGAAGAAAAAAGTGTGTCTTGTCAACCAGAAAATACAGTATTTAACGTCATTATAAAATGTGGATGTTTGGATTCTTAGTTCTTCAGATATAATAAAACCAAATATTAGTGATTTGGGGTTGCAAACAATAAAAATAATCTTTGTTGAATTATAGCACTGAGAACACTAACTCCATATAGTGAAATAACCTTTTACGCTTTACTTTATATATATATATATATATATATATATATATATATATATATATTATTGCACACTGTCTTTGCCATTACTCCATTGTCTTTAGTCATTTTCATAAGAAAAGTTTTAGGCAGTGTAAAAAAAATAATGCAATGATTAAACACATTTTTTTTACCTAAAAGAGTTTGCATTCAATCTGTTTTTTAGTGAAAATTAGGAAAGAAGGTATTGTCAGTGGTCATAACTTTTTATGCTGCATGATTTGCTCTACATTTGTGAAAGAAAAGGGAGACTGTGGTGATATCAAGCAATGTTTCATAATAATAATGATAATAAAAAAAGAAAGAACCTGATTAATGTCACAGAAATGTGAAGACCAAAAATCAATGGTCTGAAAAGATGAAATACTTCTGTTAAAGATGGAAAGAGCAAACAACACTTCTGAAAGACTCTAATTTGACAATAATATAATATTCTCTGACAATTCTAGAGAACTGGCTGAGACAGAAAATCTTCAGTTCAGAACCCCAGAGAAAGATTCCATTTTCAGATAAGTGGGGTAAGAAGGTTTCATGCTCAATTGTTAAAACTAATTTAATATAAAATTGACCCTTCATTTCAAAGACATATGAGGAGTTAGAAAATCCAAAATCGTGATGAATGTATCTTACAGCAGTTACAAGGCAAACAACTTGAAGAAATGTAGAGAGAGACACACACACATTTATGTCATGATATTTTTATTTTTTAATCATTTCACTCTAAGCAAGGCAATAATGCCACTAAGATGCAAGGGGGTTAGTGGGAATGGAAGAGAAGGAGGAGACATAAGGATAAAGGGTAATAAAAGAATAAGATTCAGGAAGATGGCAATTGATGTTGTGTTTAAATTTTTTGAAGGGGATATGTGACAGGGAAGCAAGAAATTGGAAGAGAATTCCACAGACAAAAAAATGCAAGAAAATAAAACAAATAGAACATACAGTGACCTCTAGCTATTAATGATGAGACCTAATTGCCAATCTAGTAGTACATTTAAATTCATTTGGACATGGTACAATGGAGGAAAGCTCCTTAGAACTGCCATGAAAATATTTATAGGAAAGACACAGAAAAATATTTATAGGAAAGACACAGAAAAATAATTATAGAAAAGACACAGAAAAATAATTATAGAAAAGACACAGAAAAATATTTATAGAAAAGACAGCATTGGGAAAATGACTGAAGACACCAGATCAGGACTGATAATATTACAGACCCTTCTTTAGATTTTATTTTAGTCTCAAGATATATAGCCAGAGCACTAGACAAGATATGGCAGTAATATGGTTAAAGATGGAAATAGTGGATAAGTTTATTGAAGAAAGCAGTACAAAAAGATTGAAACTTTAAAAGCTAAATACATTTGAATCATGTAATAAGTGGTAGTGATCATTGGTTCTGAATTTTCTTGAAGAACAACAATCAGGTAAGAGGCCCTTTTGAAATAATCAAATAAGTATTGTGGCATTGCTCAGAGAAATCTTTCCAATGGAAATCTTTGAAAAGAAAAACATCTTGCAGATAGAAAAATAGCCATTAGTTG